GAGAGAGAGAGAGAGAGAGAGAGAGAGAGAGAGAGAGAGAGAGAGAGAGAGAGAGAGAGAGAGAGAGAGAGAGAGAGAGAGAGAGAGGACGGGGACTGAGGCACGCATATTATGCTCAGAGGGCCTCACTGTCCCCTAGAGGGTCTGTCTGTCCCTTAAGGGGGCCTCTCTGTCCTCTCTGTCCTTACAAAATGCTGTTCGGACACAAGGTAGATGCAGTTCAGGATTGCTTGCTAGCAATCGAGGACTGCTGGATAGGCCTCCTGTGAAGGAAGACGCACATTCTACTCCCCTAACTGAAGGAGTCCTTTGCCCGCTTCTGCTCTTTTTCCCGGCCACAACCTTGAGGTATCATTGTCTCCTCCTTTTTTTATATATTGTTTTTATTAACAGAACGCAGCTTGGGCAGAGTTACTGCTAAGAGGGTTGATGGGAGCAGGTCCGAGCAGCCCCTCTTAAAAGAAGTTACCCCAATTTTTGCTTATTTGCCGCATTCCAAACTGCCTCCGCGACAAATCTGCGATTCAGTATTTTATTGCCTATTCGAAACTCAAACCCCCCCACGCGCATAGTTTTTTAAAAATATATAGTATATAGAGTATCATACACAAGGCGATGCAAGGCGGAGACTTGCTGATCCTCCTCCCCCTGGCTCCTTGCCGTTGCCTGCCCTCTTCCACCATCTCTCCCTTCTCTGCTGTGTGCTCCTCCTATATGTCCTGCTGTGCACTTCCATTCGGACTGACTGTACTTTGTGGATTGGATGCTACTAACAGGCACACTACCACTGCGAAAAGGGGGAAAAACCGACCAGCATAGACACGGCCCCCAGCGCCCCCAACAAAGAAAAGAGAAAAAACAGGCCTAGCTCAGTCAGTTGGTACACCCCTGAACTGAATGTATCTGCAAGTACAACCGCTAAAGATTAGTTAATGGAAAAATTGCATCAGTTGCTTTGAGCACGAAAGTGGTTTGCAGGAGGTCGTGGGTTCGATTCCCCACGGCCTTCTGTGATGCATTTCGGGTTCTCCAGCGGAGTTAATTGGCTTGGGCCTCCGGGCAGGCTGGGAAGCGATTATTTGTGCCTTCCAGCTCGCGCCTGGTGTTACAAGCTTGGGTACTGCTCCCCGCATAGAACAGAGATTGCTAAGCCCTGTAGTCATGTAGGTAGGTAGGTAGAGGGAGATATATCGAGAGAAGAATATAGGTTAGTTTTCAAAAAAAGAAAAAGAAGAAAATGGGAATACCCCTGAGTACGGACTAGGCCCGGCCGGGCGGGCAAAAAAACAGCCCAGAATTTTTTTAATTTTTTTTTGAAAGTGGGGTCCTCCTGTGCTCGGCAAGAGGACCCCGAATCTGCAATAAAATTCTGGTTTGGGGGGGGGACGAGTTGCCCGGGTGTGAGGGGGGGTATGGCGTTAGGGTACGGCGTTAGGGTATGGCGGCGGGGTATGGCGGCGGGGCATGGTGCTAGGGTATGGCGTTAGGGTATGGCGTTAGGGTATGGCGTTAGGGTATGGCGGCGGGG